TACTAGAACTGATTCGACCAATGAAGAGCTCGCACTTGCCTGTTTGCTGATGTCCACATTCTTGCTTGTGTGTGCAACTTGCTCTGCCTGGTGTTGGGGGGTTGAACCACACCCCGCAGCCCCCATACGGTTTCAATCGCCAGGTCAGGAGTGGTACCCCCCGACTCGGGACCTGGACATCCGGCAGCTTCAACGTGAGGAACTTCCAGAATGCCAGTATGTTCCATACATCCCAATAGTGGGCTGTAGCCGCTGTAGCCGATCCAACTGGCAGAGTACATGGTTGTTTTCCGTGCATTGGTGCCTCCTTGGTCTCGCTGTCTTGTTTGCCAGCGAGACCACATCCCATACACATGCGGCCCAGTGTCTGTGAAACCAGGCGGTGGCCACCGTCTTCTCGCTCATGAGACATATCAGTGTGCCCTTGGGCATCACAGAGCCTTGTCGTCCAAAAGAATCGCTTGGAAGACCCTGGACCGCCTGAAGTATGCCTGGAGAGGAGATGTGTCCCTAATTCTAGGCACTATAAGGGTCCCAGTTCAGGTCTCTCAGCCTCTCTTGGAGCCTGAAATCGGCATTCAGAATGGATGCCCCTTGGAATTGGAAGCGATTCCTTCGGAAGACCTGCACCCAGGTGGACGGACACATGGTATCTAACCGAACGAAAGAAAACACCATGTTGGTGGGGGCTGGCAGATCCGGTAGCTGGTCAGATCCAAGGAACCACCGCAGAACCAGGGGAAGTTAGGCTGGCCAAGTTGTGTTTTGTTTGTTCATTTTGGGGTTCAGTTCCAGGGGTTGAACATGAGGTCCCAGCTAATCCCTTGAACCTGGTCTATTCCCCCCCCTTTCCAGAACAGAGCTCCGGTTACCAGTTGATGCTGTTGTCTTTTTAATCCCCCACCGAGGGTTTTTAGATGTTTTTAGACTTTATCAGAGCTCTCCTTCTCCTTCTCCTCCTCCTCCTCCTCCACAAGTACAGGCACCCAGCCAGCAGGCACCAACAAGACAGCAGCCAGGGGGTTCGGGTTTCGGTGTGTGTTGCCAAAGAAGAGTCTCCAAAAGTATGTTTAAAGGCGGTCGGCAATCGAAGACAAAAGGCACGACGCTGCACCATGACAAAGCCGGCCAAGTACCCGGGCTTTGACACCATAGAGCAGTGCTGTGTAAAAGCCAACTGGTCACCTTTGGTGTCCGACAATGAGTGTTTTCACCTGTGGGCTTTGAAATTCTCAAGAGTTGAAGGAAGTACTGCTGGGACGTCCACCCTGAACCCCAGTATTTCTTGGGGATCGCCCACCGACCCTCGCTGCAGAGGCTCCTCAAAAGCCCAACTTGGCGTCGACCTTGTGGCGCTCTGTGGCGGATCACACCCGCTTGGTCTATTATTTCGAATCGGTGACCGCACCAAGCGTTTTCTGGGTCGACTTGAGGCTTGGCAAAGTGAAACTGACCGAGCTGCATGTGGGACAGTCACCCTCTGGTGGTCTGGTTTGGGAGCTCTTGAATCTGAAGGCTATTGAAGTCTATGATGCCAGCAGAAGGTACACGCACAGGCTTTTTGAAGAGATGCTTATTTCCCAAGTGTTTTGGTCCACGACCATGTGAATAAGAGGGGTCGAGACCTCAAACCCAGAGAGCCCCAATCACGCCTGCCGCTTAACCTATTTATATAACTGATGTAGAAACCCTGGAGGCACCGGGGCCCCCTGTGATGGGGCGGAACCACGTCACTCTATATTTGTATTTAAGCATGTCCCAGTCCAGTTTGGTACTATGTTCAGTGAGTGCAAAATTGACATTTGTTTGGAAGAAGGAACATGCCCACCATCTAAAACGGTCCCAAACCAGAAACCAACTGCAATTAATGTTAATGCTGACCTCAATATTGTGCGTTTTGCCCAAAATAAATTTGAACAGCAAATACAGCATGAGTACCAGAGTTTCAAAGGTTCCGGACAAGCATTTGTTTCACTTGGTGGTGTCAATTTGTTGGGTTCTTCGGCGGTGGTGGAGTCAATTTCTTTGGTCGGCGTGCCATGGAACACCTAGGAAACAATTGGACTTCTCGCCATCGCAGCCCTTGCGATCCCTGGAGGTGGAGGGTGAGCATGTGCCATGGCATTCGGGTGAGGTTTCCAAAAGTTTTCAGCACGAGGAGAAACCTTTTGAGTTTCTCAAGCCCAGCAGTGCCACAAAGTCGGGTGAGCTGTGAGATGCTGCGATGCAAAATAACGTGCCGACAACTGGGGGTCCTCGACTAGCCGCGGCGACCCAGGTTTTGACCGCCGACCCAAAACCATTCCTTTTGCCGTCACAACTATACGGATGATGATTGATGGAAAAACCATCCAACTCGGAAAGTACTTGGAGTCCGAAGTGTTTTCTTGGAAAGAATTAAGAACGCGGTGGTTCGGGTTTGAATCCAATGAATACTCCGTGTGACTTTTCCGCTTGTCCATGCTTGGTCGGAGAAGAATTCATCATTCTTCTAGATCAGAACTTCAGATTCACCAACCTGTCTTTCCGGGTAGTGACGTCATTTAATGACCACCACATGTTTCTTGAATTTGACTCAGTTGTGGACCTTTGCGGGCGATCTTTGGCTTCAGTTTCCGCCCGCTGCCACCCAATGTTTCAGGGCTGAAGGGCTCCCGACAGGCACGGAAGGGCACCGCCAGGCACAGCGCAGCAAAATCAAGGAGTCGAAGGTGAGATGAAAGAACCAACAAAGCTCAGTGGTTCAAAGAAGCCCGAGAAAACTCCTTCTGAAAGCTCGTTGGACCTGAAGACTCCTGAAGACAATGTCTTCGGCTGTGTAAAGTAGGGGTGACCACGGGATGATCTTCAAATCGAAGCAAACGCAGACGAGCCAGCGGGTGGCAGTCCTCGCATGTGGCAGTTGACACCGACCGCTCAGTGGCTCACACGAAAGTTGTAGCTCGAACTGATCCGCTGCTTTCTTAATAAATTATGTGATATTATGTGATATTAATATATATTATGTGGAAACGCGATATAGAATACCAGGTGTCTAGCAGTCTAGCACTACCTGTCGACGCTGTTTTTGGAACTGCCAACTTCAATCTGTCCAGCTCCCTGGCCGAAGCTTTTTGCGTTTGTGGAACGCGCAGGTTTTGCGATGATGGGGACGCCCACACAAATGTGCTCCGTTCACCAGAAGAATAGAAGCATGCAGCCGCTCAGTTGCACACGGATGAAATCTTTTCGGGAGAGATCTGCATGTTTTTCATTGTTTCCCCCCTATGTTTGTCTATGAATGCTTTGCTGCCAGGGGCAGTGTGGATTGATGTTTGTTGAAGAATGGATCAGAGTTCTTAGCACGTGTTCTTCATTTGTCGAAGTCTGTTGGAGGACCAAAGAACCAAAACAAGCTGGTACTAGATGCTGGGGTCGTAGAGGAAGCAAGATGCATATTTCGGAATTGGGGTAGCACGGAATTGTTGAAATATAGGCGATCGCTCACACATCTTGCCATGCCCGGCTACCCGGATCCCTCGGAATTGTGTCATTTCTTTTCGTCCGATGCCTTTGGAGTGGACCGAAAGTCGACGAAAACGACGCGAAAACGACCGAAAGAGACGAGGGGATGAATCACCAAGGAGCTTGATGGAGGATGGCATGGGTGGCTTTAGATGTAGAGAAGGTGCAAGGCCAGCTTGGACCATTCCGTTGCGCATGAACGGTCGCCAGGTTTCGTATTCATGTGAAATTCATATCCTTCCATGTTGATTCCATTTGCATATTCAGAGTCCATTCATATCATTCATATACATCCATCATCGTTCACCCTCTCCAGATCTATCCAGCCATCCATCCCCAGAATTCACTGAAGAATAATATATAGATCCTTTCACAGTGGACAACTCTTTGGTCCCTTTTGACTGGAGCCCTATGTGCATGATGTTTCATCCTTTGGGGCGATCCGTCGCGGCAGGCTCTGCATAAACACCACGCGCTTGGCACGCGCGACCTCGCCACGCCACGCTTCTCCTGCGCCGCGGCCGGTCGGCCAGGTGCAAGATGGGGGGCGAGAACGCGATGTCGGGCATGGGCGCCATGGCGGCCCAAATGTCGGCGATGGGCGCAATGGCCCAAGGCGTGATCCGGGCACCGACTCGGGCGGTGCACGGATGGACTCGGAGGAATGGACTCGGTGCATGGATGGATGGGTGAGTGGATGACTGTTGTGTGATATTGTGTTATTGTATATATTATACGTATTATAGTAGGTAAAGAAGAACAAGACTCAGAGTGGCAAGTATATAAATTGAAGTCATGCCAGGCAAATCCATGCAAGAAGTATGAAGGTGCAGTGGCAAGTTGATGGGCAGGGAGAAAAGAATGTTGCCACGTGGGTTCTCTTTTTTTTAGTTTGCCGCTTTTGTTTGGTTTGTGAATCAGCACAAGGGTTGCCGACAACTACCAGTCGGTTCCTCAACTTTGATACGTTCCAGACAAAAAGGAAGCTTATATACCACCATGCCGCGCACAGGCTTCGGCAAGGGCAAAGGGAGCTGGGTGCGCACCTGAGACTGTTTCTTCGCCCCGAACCCGGTTCCAAACAATAAGTATTTGCTCAAAGTTCAAACATTTGCTTGTTGAGATGTCAAAACGCTTGAGGACATGTCACAATGTTCATTTAGGTGTTCTTTAGGTGACAACATGTGTGACAGTGACCTGTTGGGACCCCGGCCAAACATGGCCTGCGAGTGTTACAAAGGGATGGGATGAAAAAGGGGCGGATCTCGTTGACGTCCCGATCTCGTTGGATATCCACAAAGTGATGAACCATGTGGGTGTCTATTTCAATAGAGGACACCCCCCAACCCAATGGGTAGACTGGCCAATGGATCTTTGGAGGCTCTCTCTATATTCTAATGCACACCCATTTGCCACACCTTGGAGTCGGAATCCGAATCTCTCCGGGCCCTCCGCTGCACGTCTTCCGTGGATGGCAAAGGATGGCAAAGGAAAGGGCAGCTGGGCACGCACCTCAGTCGTAGCACGAAAGCTCCTTGTGCCCGGGGCCTTTGGCTTGTGCTTGCTTCGACTACATTTCACTCGCTTCGTTGCCCTTCCCGAGTTGGCAGAAAGACTCTCTCAGCCTCAGAGCAGAACAGTTTGTGTTGAGGAATTTGCCATGTGTGTGAAATGTGAGAAGTAGATCAGATGGTGCAGGAAACCTAATGGAAATACTCTGCACTTGAAGCCACCAAAGTAAAGGCTTACAACATGAGCGGACTGTGCAACGGTGTTCGTCGCACTTTTCTCAAGAATCGATTGGAAGACATTAGGGAAAATATCCTGCTTCCGTTTTCTGACACACCACATTCTTTGTTTGCGCTCTTTGTTTCTGTTTCGCGCCGTGATTGCAGTGGTTTCCTAGGGTGGCAACAGCAAGGGCGGCTGGGGTGGCGACAGCTGGGGTATGGATAATGGCGCAGGCAAAGGCGTTGCTTGGCAGCAGAGCTTCACAGAGACAATGATAATCACTCACAATACCTGATAATACCTGGGGGGCTGCCCCAACATGTGTTCATGCACACGTCGCATGTGCATTGTACACTGACAACTTAACACATGATGCCGACTTGTTTCGATCTTCACCGTTTGACCCCACTTTCGTTGCCTCTTGATGGACTCCTCCTTTGAGGGTTTAGGACACACACACGCCACTCATCATGTTGAGGGTCCCACACGTAAAACCCGTAGCCCCCATGCAGCGGTGACCCCCATCGGAACCTGCAGGTCACCGTGAAGTCGTGGATGGGCCGCCTGAAGTCGGTGGATGGGATAGCCCCCCCTCCCCTGGCAGGTCCGGACGGACCCGGAGAATTGACTCGTGTGGCTTCTGTCCTCCAGTTTCCCGAAAACCTCCAGGGGTCCGTTTCGGAGGGTTCCATGCGGTCCGAACGAACGGTCCGGGCCACGGCGTCGCAGTAGGAACGAACGTGGCACCTCCGTGGCACCGAGCTGTACGATCCTGCTGAGGCCATGATGGCCTGGATGCAAAAGGGCATGCAGATGATGATGTCCAAGGGCATGGGCAAGATGGGCCACTTGCCAAGCATGTCCTGGCTGAGAGAGAATGCCGGAGAACTGGTTTTCGGGCACAAGGATGGCACAAGGATTCTGGAGAACTGGTGAAATGGTGCTAAACGGAGGGGGAAGAGGTCCATTGCATCCACATACTAGATCATACTAGTAGTCTCTGAGAGGGTGATGTGAATGATGTGAATGTGGCCCCACTTTTCCATGGGCCTTCAATCCGGTCGAGGAGGATCGGATCCGGTGGATACTCGGTGATCGGTCGGGTCACCCGTCTTTCTTCGTGGAAAACCCCAGGCTCGACCCGCGGCGCGAGTTCGTTCGTGGCGCGACCCGCGGCGTGGCGGCCCCCCGTCGCGCGAGGCAAAGGAAAGAAAGGCGGTGGATGGACGGCGCCCGTCGGAGGTGCACCGCGCCCCCGCAGGGTTCGGACCACTTCTCCATCGATGTTGCCAGATGGCTTCAGTAGATGGTCAACTCCACATGGGAACGAAGCAGTGGGAATGAGATGGAATGAGTGTCATCCACATTGGACT